GAATGAACAGCCTCCGCAGCCCCCCGGGTCTCCCTCATTCCACCCTGCCCCCCTCAGTGTATTCTCCACATGCTAGCCAGAGGGACCCTGTACAAATATGTCAGATCATCCCATCCCTCCTCTGCTCAGAGTCCACCCCTGGGTTCCATCTCATGCAGAGTTAAAGCAAAGTCCTCACCGTGGTCCACAAGACCCTGCACAATCACCACCGCCCCCTTTCAGACACCACCTCCCTTCCCCTCCCCCTTGCTCACTCGGCTCCAGCCACTTGCCTCCTCTCTGTTCCTTAATCACTCCAGGCTTGGTCCTGCCTCAGGACCTTTGCACAGGCTGTTCTCCCTACTCTGCCAAAAGCTCTTCCTCGGACGTCCCCATGGCTTCCCCACTCCACTCTGTTGAGTCTTTGCTCCACTGTCACCTTCTCAGTGAGGCCTGTTTAAAAGTGTGGCCCGCTGCCCCCTCTGACACTCGCCGACCCCTTTCCCGGCTCTCTTTTCCTGGATGGCACTCATCGCTGTCCAGTGCACTGGATCAGGTCTCAGTGTTCTCAGCGTGGTCCCCAGCCCTGCAGCTTGAGCTTCAGGTGGGAACTTGCTGGAATGCTGTCAGGCCCCAGCCCAGACCGGTTGCAACAGGCCTTCTGCGGGTGGGGCCCAGCAGTCTGTGTGGGAACAAGCCCTCCAGGGCTTCCAAGGCCACTCAGGCCTGAGAACTGCTGCTCATGTATCTCGTTTACCATCCATCCCCACAGCCAGAACGGGAGCTCCGTGAGAGCAGCGACTTTGTCTTCTGTTTCCTGCTGTATCTCACGTACTGAGAAGAGTGCCCAGGACAGAGTACGCGCTCAGTGAATATTTTCTGAATGAAGAATGAAGGAAGGAACTCACGGAAACTTCTGAGGTACTGCTATTCCCTGCCAATACGATGACCAGACCGGAGGCCCAGAGAGGTGAAGCTACCTGCCCAAGGTGGCACAGCTAGCTCAGAGGGGCAGAGCCAGGGTTCAAACCCAGCAGGCTGGCTCCAGAGCCCCGTTAACCAGCACTCAGACTGCTGGCCTCCAGGGGCACCAGGCGAGACATGGGGGGAAGTGCCCTCTGCCCAGCGGGGGAGACACAGTGAAGATGGATTCGTCTGCTTGCTCCCCCACCCCAGAGGGAATGATTAAATAATTACCAACGTAATTCTGCATCCTCGCCCCTAGAAAACGTCACACTTTTCATGCTTTGGCCTTGTCCCTCCTGTCGGCCTCCCTGACTCCCGCTGCCCTTGTCACAGACTAGCGACCATCTGGGCCTGTGTCTGACCCCCTCACCAGGCAGAGACCCCTTGAGGGCAGGGCAGGGTCTGACACTTCTCCAGGACCCCAGCATGGCCCAGCACAGAGCCTGGCCTCCGGAAGTGCCTCCTGGATGAAATCCTCCTTCTTCTTGGCCACCTAACTTTCCTGCATCCTCAGAGACTCAGACCCAGGTCAGCTCCTCCAGGCAGATCAGCTGCCCCTCGGGGCCGCCACAGCACCCCCACAGCACCTTGTACTACTTCCCTTATTGCACGTGGGCACCACGAGCCGGGGCTGCTTCAGGCTGGGAGCTCCTCAAAAACAGGGGTCAGGGTCTCGCTCAAGCCGGGGTCCCCAGCATCACTTGTGGAACGCAGGCCACTTCAAGCTGTGTCACTTTAGACTCCTCTCGAGTGTCACCAACTCCTTGAAGTCTTCCCTGAGTCTCCAGCTTCTCTCGGCTCCCAAAGACTAGTGTTGCCTCGGTATAGCTTGGAGTACTCTGCACTGAGATCTCCTGTCCTTCCCCCAACCAAACTGAATTATCATTGGCTCCCCCGTGCCCAGCAAAGGGCCTGCCACAAGAGTAGCTGACCAAAGGACTAAAGAGAAGGAAAAGCATTGCAGGAGGAGGGAATGGCATGGCAAAGGCCCAGAGTGGGGAAGGAACCGCTCTAAGGGACAGGAAAGGCCTGGGTGGTGAAATGCAGAAGAAGGAGAGACAAGGTAACAACAGGTTCCTGGAGTGGGCGGGGCTCTGAAGCTGAGACAGTGACATTCCCCCTGCCCACTCATTCCATCGAGGCTCTGCCCCCAGTGGCACTCCCAAACCTGCTCTCCTTCAGCCCTCTCCTTCCAGCCTGTTGCTCAAACCACAAACCCCAGTCATCCTGGGCTCCTCTGCCCTACATCCCTGCTGGCTCAAACCCCAAAGTCAACCTGAGCCTGACAGATTCTCCCCACCTGCACTGCAGGCTGAGCCACCCACTACCCCCTCTCGCCTCCTCATTGGTCTCCCTCCTTCCACTCTTGCTTCTGCTACAATCCCATTTTCACTCGGCAGCCAGTGACTTTTTCAAAATGCAGCTCATGTTGCTCTGATGCTCAAAACCTCCCATGGCTCCCTATGGAACCTAGAATAAAAGCCAAACCCCACACCGAGGTTTACAAGGCCCTACAGGATCTGGTTCCCCACCACGTCCTCAATCTCACCTGTTCCCTCGGCTCCCGCTACAAACACGCCAAGCTCCTTCCTACCTCAGGGCCTTTGCACCTGATGCTCCCTCTGCCGGGATCTTTCTTTACAGGGCTGACTTCTCTCTCAAATGTCACTTCCCCAGAGAGGCGATTCTCGATCCCTCCAGCCAAAGAAGCAGGCTACTCTGTATTGCTTCGCTTCGGATAACGTATCACAGCCTGAAAGCACTGCTTTATCGTTATCACTTATTACTCGTCTACTGTCTGTCTTCCCCTGCGGCAGGGGCCTTCTCTGTCTTGTCCGGGCTGTAGCCCCTGCTTCTAGAACAGCGGCTGCCACAGAGCACTCAGTATTTGGTGAATCGAGGATGACACCACGCCCCCATGTGCACCATTCAGTCCCCCAATGCCTCCGGGATCCCGTCGCCCCAAAGATCCTCCGAGGGGCGTCCCCCCTCGCCCCCGGGGCCGGGCGCCCAGCGCACGCGCCCCCTGCGCGCCCCCGCGCACGCGCCCGGGAGACCGCTGGCCCCTGCCCCTCTTCCGCGCGCCCCCGAGCCACGGGATCCCGCCGCCGCCACGCCCCAGGCGACCCTCACAACCCTCGCTCCGGCCGAGTGCCCGGCTCCTGAAGCCCCCTCCCCTGCCAGGCCACGTCCCCTGCCATTCCCCTTCTCCCTCTACTCACCTGCTTCAAACACCGTTTCCCGCCACAGCCGACGCCGCCGTGACCTCTGACTCCGGCGCGCGCAGGCCCAGAGCCGCCGCGCGCCAGCCGGGCCACGCCCCTCCAGCCCAAGTAGGGCGAGGCCACGCCCCCAATATTTCCCTGGGCCACGCCCCCCACCTCGGGATAGGGCCTCCTCCCCTCGCGACAAATTCTCGCCAAACAACGCCCCCTTCTGACGTGTGCGGCCCAGGGCCACGCCCCCTCGCGGCCTCAGGCTGTCTGGCGCCCAGCGGCCCGGGCTCCACCCCCTACCCTCGGGCGCTGCGCGCGCATCCTCCGCTCCCCCGCCCGCCTCCTGCGCGAGGCCAGGACCCGGGCGCTGTCCATCCTTCCGCCTGCGGCCTGACGTCTGGCCTCCCCGCAGAGGGGGGCCGATCCGTGCCCAAGGCCTGGCCTGCTCGTTTCTCCTGTCTCACAGCCTCAGTTTCCCCATCTGTCGACTAGACTCTGCGCAGGGCGGGCACCCCTGTGGGGCGCCAGGCACGCTGCTTGGAATGGGGCGATTGCTTCACTTCCACCCTAAAAAACCTGCCTTTCAGTACCCAGCCCATCCTTCCAAGCGACACCCCTTTCTCCTTCGACCAGGGACCAGGACTGACCATCCCGCTCACCTCGCAGCCCCCACTGGGCCTGGCGCAGGGCAAGGAGGAACTGGGAGAACTCCACGGCCATCTGTACTCTCAACTCACCGTGGCTTCTCACCTTCCACACCTGGCACGTGCCCTTCCCTCAACTTGGGGGCCCAGTCCCCTGGTTCTCAGGGTTTAGGTCCAGCTAGAACGTGGCCTCCCTGGTGAGGGTTGCCTGACTTCCTCCTCCGGCTCCCACACTGCCCCGTGCTACCCCCACAAAAGCCCCTACATGACATTCTAGCTGTCCCCGTGCATCCCCCCACTGCCAGCCCTGACTGGTACCCACCTTTATCTTGTTGGCTGTTTCCAGTGCCTAAAATCGTGTTTGGTTCATAGCAAATGCTCCCTCCACTTGTTGGATGGATGATGTGTGCATCCCCAGAACGGCCAGCACAGCGCCCACCCAGCCCACAAGTGGCTTCAGCAAGTGTTTGTTGACTGACCGAAAGCTCCACCCCCTCATTCACTTGAATCCTCCTGGACCTTCAGGAGTGGGCTCCAACTCACCTCTTCCCGGGAGGTGACCCCGAGGCTGTCAGGGCCTCTCCTGGGCCCTCACAGTGCCTGGTCACACCACCCAGGGCCGATACAGCCTGTATCTGACCCCCACCAGCCCAGCACCCGGGAGGCCTCTGGTCCCGTGTGCTGAATCAGGTCCACGGGCCACGTCGATGAAGACGCTGGCAGCCCATTCTCTTTCCATCTCAGACTCACTCTGCCTCAGGGCAACTTTCTATTCATATTTTATTTTCCTGTTTTTGTGGGTTTTTTAGTTTTTATTAAATAAAAGGAGGGAGAGGGGGGCCTGCGGTCTCAGGCTGTGGGGGAGAGCCACGGGCCCTCCCCTTCCTCTGGTCAAGGTGCTTTGCGCTTGAGGTGGGCTTGAGGTGGAAGCTGGGTGCGGAGTGCTTGGAGAGGTCAGAGGTCGGGCCCTGTGACCCATCCCCCTCTCCCAGGAAGACTCAGTGGCCGGGGGGAACCTCCTGGACCTCGACGGGGCTCTTCCTGAGGGCTGAGGGCTGGCGGGGCCGGGGTCTGTGCGCTAAGCCACGAGGCGGGACCCCAGGTCCGACCCTGGCCCCGTCCGGCCCCCGGAGGAGGAAGGGGCGCCAGTGTCCGTTGGTTGGAGGGTGCGGGGCTGGGGGGCGGGCTGGCCGGGCCCCTCACTCGTGGACGTCCCAGATCTCGGAGAGCAGCGGCGGCAGCTTCTTGTCCTGGAGCCGCAGGGCGAAGACCTGCTCCGAGTGCACGGAGCTCAGCGTGCGCAGGCTCACCAGCTTCATCAGCATGCGGGGGAAGCGCAGCTGGTCCTGCGGCGGGCGGCAGGGAGGTGGGCACCGGCCGGGCCTCTGCCCTGTGAGCCTCCACTCAGCCCACCGGAGGCCCTCCCTCCCCAGGCCGAGCCAGGAGAGCCAGTGCGGGGAGGGCTGGGCAGAGCATGGGGACCCCCCCACCCCGTGCTGGGCTCCCGGCTCCTGGGTGAGGGGTCAGGGGCCCGAGGACAGGCTCTGCTGAGAGGACACCAGCCAGAGCTCCAAGTGCAGCCAGGGGGCTTAGCAGAGGCAGCAAGACGCCGGCCCCAGGCTGACCCCAGGGGACCTGGACCCCTGCCCCGCCCCGGGCCTCTGGGTGGCGCCTGCTCTGCCAGGAGGGGCTGGGCTCCAGCAGGCCCGTACCTGTGGCCTCTTGATGCGCGTGTAGGAGAGCAGGGCCTCCACGTAGGGCTGCTGCAGGGCCTCCACGCGGCTCGTCTCCTGCACGTTGGGCCGGTCGGCCGAGAAGATGTTGATGGCGATGAGCAGGGCGTACTCGGCGTCATCCAGGCCCAGCCGCTGCATGGCCCGGGAGAACTCGAAGATGGGGTTGATGAACTCCACCTGCAGGCCTGCGGGGGCGGGAGGCCGGTCTGATCAACTCCCCTGGCCCGACGCCGGCCCCCACCCCTGGTCCCTGCCGTGCCCGCCGTCAGCGGGGTGAGGAAACCAACACCAATTATAGCGTTCTTCTGTTCCCTCGGTGTCCCCACTGCCTGGCACACAGTTGCTGCGCCACAACCCTTCCCTGAATGAGGGAACGAGCAAGGGGGACAAACATTCATTCAGTGTTAGAACCACACCATCACCACCTTCCCTTCTTTCCTGGCTTCCCGGGACTTCTCCTCAGGAAAAGGAAAGATTTTTAAACCTGGGCGTATCGTGTCACCCCCTGCGGTGGCTTCCAAGAGTGACTCATTCCTTCATCAGACTTTATTGGGCACCTACTGTGTGCCAGGTCCTGGGGTAGAGCCGTTGACTAGACAAAGCCCCCCTCCAGTGGAGCTTACGTTTGGGGATGGAGGAGACAGATAAGGGACAGATACAGAAGTAAACCCTCCAGCCTGTGAGACAGTGATGAGTTCTACAGATCAAGGTAATGCAGGAAAAAGTAATGGGGGCCACTGAGAATCACGTGCACACTCAGCCACGGTGGTCACTGTAGGGTGACCTTTAAACAATGACCTGAAGGAGGGGAGGGAGTGCGGTACGAGGATGCGTGAGTGTTCCGGGTAGGCGACTGCCGTCTGTTTTGCAGGGGAAGGGGCGGCTTCCTGGGCCACGTGACTTTTGGTGTCAAAAGTGGGAAGATCCTGGGCAGACCGGGAAGAGCTGGTCACCCTCGTTCTGAGCAGAGGGTGCAGCAAGAACAGAAGCTCTGAGGCGGGAGCACAGGTGGGGGGTTCAATTAAGAGGGAGGAGGCCTGTGGAGCCGGAGGAGGGTGAGCGAGGGGAGAGGGCAGGAGATGAGGGCGGAGAGGGACCAGTGCCCAGACCCTGCCGGGTCTGTGGGCCTCGGTGAGGGCTGTGGCTTTCCTCCCAGTGAGACGGGAGCCATGGAGAGTTCTGAGCCAAGAAGGGATGGGAGCTGACTCAGGTGTTATCAGGGTCCTTCTGACTGCCACGTGAACAGACACACTGGGCAGGGGTGGAGGTGGGGAGCCCAGTGAGGGACCCCTGCCATGTTCCAGGGAGAGACAATTGAGGCCTGGACTGTGGCAACCACCTCTCCAGCCCCAAATCTCTGTACTCCAGCTGTCTGGGCCTCCCTATAGTTCCTTCAAACCGTCCAGCTCTTCCCCACCTCAGGGCCTTTGCACACGCTGACCCCCCGCTACCAGAACACTCTCCCCCCACAATGTTCCCCTGCCAAGTTCATACTCAAATGGTTACTGGGACTGTTTGGGCGGTGGAAGGGCCAGGAATCAGAGAAAGGGAAGATGATGGGGTTACGAGCAGGGGTCGGGAGTAGAGAGAGGTGTCCCAGGGAGAGATGCCGGGAAAGAGCAGGACTTACTGGGAAAGCCCAGAGGCCAAGGGAGTGGGGGCTTTGCACATGCAGTTCCCCTGTGGGGAATAGTACTCCCCACCTCCCTTTCCCTAGGTGATGTCTCTCACCCCTCAGGCTTCGGCTCAACTTCACTTCCTCCAGAAGCCCACCGCCTAGGGCACATCCCCAGTCTAGCCAGTGCTCTTGGAGGGCAGGGACCAGGACTGCCCTGAACAGTTGGGTAGGTTGCGCACTTCACAACCAAGTGAGATCCAGCCTCCCTCGGCTGAGACCAGGTTTGGGAGGAGGCAGTGTCTTTTTCTCATTCCCACCCAGATGCCCTGTATGATAGCAGAAGCCTGTCTCATCCTGCACTGCGTTCCACCGTACAGACTTGGCACTCAATACATGTGCTCTTATCTTGCGTCAGGGTTGGCTCAACCCTCAGCCGGCTTTGGAGATAAAGCAACGGAGGCTCAGGCCTCAGGGATGAGCCGGCCCGAGGTCTCCCAGCCAGCAGGGGCCCCACCCCGGCCCCCGGGCCCCCAGCCGCCGGCCCCGGGCCCTACCTGCGCGGTGGAAATCATCCTTGCTGTAGGTGAAGTCCTTCAGGAAGGTGATGCAACCTGTCTCGTGGTTGTAGCGTCTGGCCGTCTCCAGCAGCATGATCTGGGGACAGCAGTGGGGGCAGGGGGCTCGAGGCGTCCCTGTGAGCCTCCAGCCACCAGTCCCTCCTCTCCTGGCCTGAACGGGGGCCCGATCTCTCCAGCATCATGCCTCGCCCCTCTGCCCCCCGTACTCTCGGCCACACCAGCCTGTGTCCTGTTGGACACTGCAGGCTCCCTCCCTCCTGCAGGTTCGGCACCCACAGCACCCTCCACTCAGGATGCTCTCCTGATGCACGAGGCACGGGGACAGAGTCTGTATCTGGTTCATTCACTCCCATATGCCCAGCACTTGGAATGGACCCTGGCATACACCAGGCACTCAATACTTGTTACCATCGTTTGGTTCAAATGTCAACTCGCTGAATAGACTTTTCGGCACATTCTCTAAAGTGCGCCCCTCCAGCCCAATCCTCAATTATTCTCAGCCTCAGCCTGTTTCCTTTTTCTCCTTGGCTCCTGGGAAGCTCTGATTACCTTGTTTAATATTTCGACATTCCCCTGGAGAGTGTCATCCCCACAAGGGTGAAGACTGGAGGAGTCTTGCTCATCACTATGTGCCTGGCATCTGGCCCGGGGCTTATCTCTGGGGTTCCTTGTGGACAGGAGGGAAGGGCCTTGCTGGGGATGGTGGGCCGGCTGTTACCTCAATGGTAGATGCCTTCAGGAGGGCGATCTGGTCCTCGCGGCCCAGCTGCAGGAAGCCAGGCACCTGCTTGGCGAAATCCACGATCTCCTGGACCGAGATGATGGCCAGCTCCGTGAAGTGGGCGAAACGCTGCTGGCGGGCGTCACGGGACTGGGGGTCCGCACCCAGGGGCCAGGGCTGGGGACGCGAGGGGCCAGGGTTACTCAGAAGACTCCTCCTACGAGCCCAAGGCCATGGGGGCACCTTGAGGAAGCCTGCACCCTAGGAGACCTTCCTGCCCTCTGGAGCCCCATGCCCCACCATGGCCTGGGCTGCAGCCCTGCCGGCTTGACCCCGCCGGGCCCCCCACCCCTGGAGGCTGCGGAAGGGCCGGTACCGTGACTTTGGGCTGGTCGGAGAAGGAGCGTTTGTTGCACTGCAGCTGGGCCGCCACCAACTGCTGGATCATCAGTTCCTGAGCGGCTGTTAGCTGGACACCCTCGCCTTCCCCGGAGCCCTGGGCGCCCCCATCAGACCCTCCAGGGGAGGCCCCAGGCCCAGAGGCTGAGCTGCCGCTGACCCCCGGCCCTTTGGGTGACGGCTGCTGCTGCTGCTGCTGCTTCCGAATCTTCTTCTTGCGGATCTGCTCCTCCGAGAGGACGCCTGCAGGGCAGACGCAGGCCTGAGCGGGGGCCCCGGGGCTGGGCAGGGGCCCGGCTGGCGGGGCTCCCTCCCGGGCACTCACACTGCTCCCTCATGCCCGCCTCCTTGCATTTGCGCAGCCGGCACTGCTGGCACTTGCGCCGCATGAAGGCGTCCATCTGGCAGGTCCCGCCACCCCGGCAGGCGTAGCGCCCAGCGGCGCCTCGGACCACGCTGCGCCGGAAGAAGCCCTTGCAGCCTTCACAGCTGAGCACGTTGTAGTGGAAGCCGGAGGCCGTGTCGCCGCACACGAGGCACAGCTCGTGGCCCAGCATCTTCGGGGCCGGGCCCTTCTTCCGCTTGCGCTCCGGCTCCTCGGCTGGGTCGGGGGTGACTGTGGTGGGCGGACAGAGGCCATGAGGGACGGAGCCACAGAGAGAAACAGCAGCCAGAGGGGCAGGCCCACGAGAGATCGGAGGATGGAGAGGGAACCGGGGAGACGGCGATTCAGAGCAAAGGTGTATATGTCAGCGGACCCCAAAGAACAAAGCAAAACAAGAGATGTCAAAGAGGAAGGGAAGAAAAGAAACCAACAAGCTGGGGCCTCCCATCCCCACTTCCGATCTTTCTGCCTTCCTAGAGCCCTTCCCGAGCCCCCATCCCAACTCTCAGCCCCGTCCCTGGGCCCCGTCTCACCCACACTGCAGGCCGACCCGGCCCCATCAGCGCCTGGGACATCAGGGTCCCGACCCCCAGGCCACGGCTCAGGACCCTCGTCCTTTACAGCGGGTGAAGAGGAGGGGGCGCTGGGCTGAGGGGGGCCATGTCCTGGGAGAGGGAGGCACAGTGAGTTTCTCCTGACAAGTGTGGGGTTGGGGGGTGCTGGGTGGGGAAGGGGGTCACTCACCAGGCAAGGGCGAGTCCTGGGAACTCGTGGTAGGGGTGGACATGGTGGGGTCACGGAGCAGCCTGCAGAATACAGGGGGACTCAGAGCCTTGTGGGGCCAGGGAGGGTCAGGTGAGGCCAGCCGCAGGTTCTGATGGGGGCACCTCTCTTTCTTCCGTCTCTCCGACTCCTCCCCTATCACCCTACAGACGCCACCCCCGGCCCCTGCCAGCCTACAAACCCTCCCCTCCAATTCTAACAGCGCCGACCCCCTTCTGCTTGACCTCAAGCCCCGCCCCCTCTAGGCCCCGCCCCTTCTGGCCCCGCCCACTCCAGATCCCGCCCACCTGCTCTTTGCAACTACTGCCCCTTCTGCTTCAATCGTGCTGCACCCTCACTTTCTCCTTCCCATTCAGTTTCACCCCATCTCTTACTCAGACTCCGCCCACCTCTGTCGAGGAAGCACCCCCTCTCCCATTCTGACCCCACCTCCTCCTATTACGCTCCGCCCCGTCTTTTCTAGGCCCCGCCCCATCCCTTCCCGGGTCCACCCTCACTCCTCCCATAAGGCGCCGCCCCATCATTCTGCACCCCCCCATCCGTACCTCTCCCTCCAGGCCCCGCCCCACCTCCTCCCATCAAGCTCCGCCCCCACACCTCGCTCCAGGTCCCGCCCCTCTCCGAGCACCAGTGGGGGGCGGGGCTCATGGCTGCGCGCGAGGGTCTCGTGGGCGTCCTCTCGCGGGGTCTCCTACTCCCGTTGCCCTGGAAACAGCCGGAGGCGGCGCGAGCTATGGAGGGGAGGGGGCGGCGGGAGAGAAGGGGGCTGAGCAGAGCAGCGCGGGGAACGCCGGGAAGCCCCGGGCCCGGGCTCCTCCCGCGTCGCCCCACACTCAAGCGTACCTGCCTCCGTCCCCTTGCTCTGCCTCTCTTCCTCCTTCTCTGTGTCCCCTGGCACGCCGCCGCTGCTCGAGTCCCCTCAAAAGTAACTTCGCCACTTCTTCCGGCAACCCCACCGTGCGTCACTTCCGGAAAAGGGCGGGGAGTCAGAATGGACGGACTTCCGGTCCGCGTAGGACTAGCTAAATCGGCTGCCCCGCACGGAAGTCGTATACCCACGGGGGGCTGGGAGAAGAGTTCCGGGTCCGTCAATCAAACCCTGGGCGAGAGTGGGCGTGGCCAGTCCCAAACCTTCCCGCCGCGCGCTGTGTGGCTTTAACTCATCCTGTGCCTTTCTGGGCTCGCAGCCAAGGATTTACTCGGCATGCTTGTCCCCTAGCTCTAGCTCATTTTCGCGCATGGCTGATTTAAATCATGTTTGTCTTTTTTTGGTTGTTAGAAGTTTTTTGATTTTGGAGGTGCTCTGCTTGTTGGTTTTAAATACGTTAATTTACAAACCTCGACCCAGAAAAAAATATATTTAAAAAATAACTTCATGATAGGAAGAATAAAAAAAGAAAAAAAAAAAAGCGTAGCTTCCCCTGCCAGAAAGATAAAAATGATAGCTTTTAAAGAAAACTCAGAATACTTGAACAGGTAGAAGATGGACATTTTTCCAAAGTCTTTCCCCCGTGGTAATCAGATCTATATCGAGCATACACGCATTTTTTTCCAAAAGAGGAATGTGTGATCTATGGTCTTTTGTAGCTTGTTTTGTCGGTTCCGGCACGGCCTTGGAAGCTGTGGAATTTTCCAAGGATGTTACCAGTAAAACGAGTGGTTTCCATGGGCGTCTGGGGCTGGCTGAACTGGTGTGTCTGCCACTTCCTCGCCGTGTAATGTTGAGCCAAGCTATTTACCCTCCCTGCACCTCGGTTTCTTATCTGACATTGGGAACAAGAGTTTATTGCATTGTTATTATGATTAAATGAGCTAAAAAGCATGGACAGGACTCAAATAGCGAGCCCAGGGTGTGGGAGCTAGGTTTATTTTTGTGGATGTTAAAGTTGTTTTTAACTTTTCACTATTAGAAGAGTGCAGTAGGCTGAAGATGAATTACAACAGTTTGGGGCAAATCACATCACTCCTAGTCTCGGTTGACCTACCTGTAAAATGAGGGAAATTATTTGTTTTTCTTTTGAAGGGTGTGAGGATTCAGGAAAGGCGGTGCCTAGTATATCTAAACGGACCGATCAGTGCAATTTTGTTATTTGAAACTAACTGCAGACCAGTGTTCTCGTTTGTAATGGATCCAATATCCCCTGATTTTTTTTGTAACAGCTTTATTGAGATTTAAGTCACATACTCAAACAATTCACCAATTTAAAGAGTACAATTCAATGGTTTTAGTATATTCACAGAATTGTTGCAACCATCACCACGATGAATTTTAGAACATTTTTGTCACCCCCCCAAAGGAAACCCCATACCCACTAACAGTCACCCCCACTGCCCGCATCCCCCAAGCCCTAGGCAACCATTAATCTACTTTCTGTGTCTATGGATTTGTCTATTGTGGACATTTCCTATAAACGGAATCTTAGAATATACATCCTTTCGTGTCTGGCTTCTTTCGCTTAGCATAATGCTTTTGAGGTTCATCTCCGTTGGAGCAAATATCAATACTTCATTTCTCTTTATGGCTGAATATTATTCCATTGTATGGATACACCACATTTTATCATTCATTAGTTGATGGAGATTTGGGTTGTTTCTATTGGTTATAGTCCTGCTATGAACATTCCTGTGCAAATTTTTGTGTAGACATATGTTTCCAATCCTCTTGGGTATATACCTAGGAGTGAGATTTCTGAGTTATATAATAACTCCATGTTTAACCCTTTGAGGAACTGCCAGACTCTATGCACCATTTTACTTTCCCACCAGCAGTGTGCGAAGATGTGAATTTCTTGACATCAGGACCAATATTTGTTATTATGTCTTTTTTATTACAGCCATCCTAGTGGGTATGAAGTCATGTTTCACTGTGGTTTTAATTTGCACTTCCCTGACGGCTAATTCTGTTTCTTTTTATCACAAATAATTTGTAATGTGGAATTCTGCCTTTACTCTTCTGAAGTGAAATGCAGAGATAATATAGCTCAACTGTGACCACAACAACAACAAAATATCATTCTATTTCAACAAATGCAATGCAAAAGATGAATGAATGGAAGCTAAAGTGATACGCACTTCAACATAAGTACACAGGAGAAACGACATGGCAGCCAGATCTTACTTCCAAATACAGAATTGCTCTTTGTGTCTAGCTGTCTGACAGACAAGTGCTGTATCAACTCAGATGCCTCAGGCAGCATTGCTGTGGGTGATGCGATTTTTCCAAAACTGTGGCCAAGTCTTAATAAAATCATCAATAAGACCAACTATAATCTTTCCTTGGTATATACATGAGATGCACCCCAAGAAAATTCAGGGTATATTAAAGTCACGCCAGAAATTACATTGGCAAGTATATGTGAAAGAGAGTAGGCTGAAAGTCAGACAATTAGGCAACAACTTTTTGATGGAATGTCTAGCAGGACATTTAAGCTTTCCATGTGCCTAACTCCCCAACCCCTGCCCAGTAAATGACAACAGCTACCCCAGTTATTGTGGAAATAAAATAGCCCCTTGGCCCAAATAAAACTTCCAGAGGTAATGTGTGTGAGAGAGGGAGCCGTATGGACACTTGAGGGAAAGTGTGTTCCAGCCAGATAGAACAATCAATGCAAAGGCCCTGAGGTAGGAATTTTGGCATATTCAAAAAGCAGCAAGCAGACCAAGGTGGCTGGAGCTTAATGAGGTGGGGAGGAAGAGGTAATATCCTAGAGGGAGCACAGTCCCATCATGAGGCCTTGTGGGCCAGATGAGTCCAGTACTGGCTGAGCATTCACAAAAAACGGTCTCTTGACCTGGGCGACACAAGTGGACTACATTTCCCAGCTGCCCTTGCAGCTAAGTGTGACCACGTGACTGAGTTCTGGCCAATAGAATGCAAGCAAAAGTGATAGGTGCAGTGAGTGAAAGCCGAGGTCTCTGAGCTGACTCCAAGGTGTCTAGAGCCTGAAGATGCAGATTCAAATCCCCGCGGAGTACACCTGGCCTGTACCACCTTCCCACCCATCCCCTCTGCCCCCACCTCAGTTTCCCGCCTCTGTAAAATGTGAATGATAATTCCTCTCTTAATCATCCAGGTTGCTGGATGAATAAATAAAATGGTGAGTTGAAAAATCTGGCAATCCTTTACCCAATCACAGCCCAAGGCCTCCCGTAGGATTGTGCTGGGCCAGGCTGGAGACCCTGAAAGGGGTCAGGCCTGAGCCTTACCTGGAGGGCCTCCTGGTTTGGTGGTGGAGGTCAACCTGGGCACAAACCACTATGTGAAAAATTAGGGGGTGATCCTGGTCCCATTTGCTGTGTTAAGAAGACATCTCTTAGCTACTGTCAACTTAAAAAGCAAATTTGCCTGTTATTTCATCTCAAAATGAGTTTATTGGGGCATAGCCAAAGGAATTGCAATTCAGGAGGTGCATGCTATGGCAAACTATAGGCAAATCCAGAAAACAAAGGAGGGGAGCTGCTTTTATAGAGAAAAAGGGGGAGTAGGGAGGGGCTGTTCTAAAGGAAAGTCCATTGGGGGAAAGTAACAGTTTGGGGCAGCTATGGCTTCTCATTGGCTGAGCTGCAGCATTTCTCATTGGCTGAGCTGTGGCGTTTCTCATTGGCTGAGCTGCAGCATTTCTCATTGGCTGAGCTGTGGTGTTTCTCATTGGCTGAGCTGCAGCATTTCTCATTGGCTGAGCTGTGGCATTTCTCATTGGCTGAGCTGCAGCCTTTCTCATTGGCTGGGCTGTTGCCAGGTGGGGAGAGAAATCTTCCTTCAGTAGTAGAGTAGTTTTATTTCCTGTCAGAGACGCAAGCTCTGTCTCCTGGTGTAATTGATGGTGTGTGATGGGGGTGAGAGCTCCCCCTACAGGCCTTCCCAACTCCTAAATTATTTAGTTAAGGTTTCTTTTATTAATGTCCGCACTACCTCCGGCGGGAGGCAGTCAGGGGGAAGCATCTGCTCCTTTCACTGCGGAGTCTACATTCCAGGCAGTGGGAACCACAAGGGCAAAAGCAAGGAGCTTTGAAAGAGACTGATGTGTTCCAGGATTCAGCTCAAGAAACTGGGGAGGTAAAATTTTAAAATTAAATATTAAAAAAAAAAGCTACCTTGGGGAAGGTGCTTAATAAATCCTTGTTGGATCACAGTAATTTAAGTCAAATTAAGAGACTAGTTCTTCCTGATGAGTGGATCAGGAAGATGTGGTGTATATATACAATGGAATACTACTCGGCCATGAAAAAAAGACAAAATAGTCCCATTTGCAACAACATGGAAGGACCTGGAGGGTACTATGCTAAGCGAAATAAGCCAGAAAGAGAAAGACAAACACCACATGATTTCACTCATATGTGAAAGATAAACCAACACACAGACAGAGAGAACTGTTTGGTGGTTACCAGGGGCAAGGGGGGTGGGGGTGGGCATGCATTTATATGGTGACTCACAAACAATGATGCACAACAAAAATTTCACAATAAAGAAAAAAAGAGACTAGTTCTTCATAATTACAAGAAAGCGCATCAGATGTTATTACCAATGTGAAAACGTGGTGTGTAGAGTCAGCCATGTTTACAGTGTGTATACTAATTTTTCAAGACGTTCAGAAAATTTATGTTGAAATGTATGTGAAGAAACAAATGAAACTATTATCACAACTCATGTAAAATAGACTGATCAGAAAATATTTTCTCCTCGTCCTGAATAGAGAATAATCACAAGGCTTTGCATTTTAGCTGTTAGGAGTATGGCTCATAGCCTTTTCAATAAATCGTGAACCAGGACTCAGAAACAGAAACTGATGTGGGGAGTGGGGAAAGAGCTGGTGTTGGCTTGGAACATTGGCCCACAGCACCACCGTGTGGCCATTTACGAATTTGCAGGCAAGATCTGTCAGAAACCACTTATTAACCGAGTGAGCATTGGGACTGGATGATGCGGAACCCGGGTGGGGAGATTCTGAGGGGTCAAGACTGAGTATTCCAGCCTCTGAG